GGGCTTGCAGCTGCTGTGTATTAATAAACAGAGGGTGTTAATAAAACGAACACATGACTCTACTATGATTAAAATCGATACCCCGGAAGTATGTTTTGTGGCTGTGCACACAAACGAAAGTAGGTGTTGATCAAGAGGTAAAAATCCACACACGAAGCTTCCTCTGTAATGACAGCCTTTCTTTCTGCTAGATTATATTGTAATTGTTTTTAAAATGATAGCGACACGTGTTGGATTAAATGTGGGAGTCTGTTATGCTTGTGTAATATTATGACAATTCATTCAACCTAGATTAGATCTTCAGAACCTCCTTTCCTGGCTTTAATTTTCAATCAACAATGAAATCAGTGAGTCAATGTTGTGTTTGTTAGCCTAGAGTAGAGTAGGCGACTGCTTGTAACGGAACGGTTACTGTACAGTTCTTGTTCTCGTTCTACCGTCCGTGTGATTGAGTGGTTGACAGCCAGTTGAGCGGGGCCCCTTGCAGTGCAGCCTGTTTGGGAAACGCCTCGTCAGGAACGTAGACCTTGTTCAAGTCAAAGCAAACCAGTCTGGTGAGTAGACAGCTGTTCTGAAAAAGATTGCCTTTGAACATGGATTTTGATCAACACTTTTGCCCACAAAAGTAATTTATAAAAGAAGAACAGTCAGTGTTGTGAGTATGGTCCCAATTGGAGGACATAGATCTAGATCTATTTAAATTAGGCCTAAAGTAAGTTAAAGTGTATTTTTTGAAATTGTACTGTGTAGATCAGACCTAGATATATATCTAGAATCAAGTAAAGTTGGCCTCTTGTGTGAGTGTGTATATAAAAATTAGTAAGTCTAGATCTAGATCTAGTATGTTATGGATGATGGAATCTGAAATCGAAATAAATTTTTCTGTGGATGTACAGATACAGTAGTCTACATTCTACACGGAGGCCTCTATAGAGAGTCTTAGTTTGCAAAACATCATGTTCATTGCAGCCATACTGAAAATATAAAATTGGACTTAGAAGATAGTAATAATACACTAGTAGATCTAGACTAATATTTTGCCCTCAGCTTCGTTTTTCGTCATAGTATAGGCTAGAACAGTTCAAAATTGTAGGTCCGCAAATTATGTTTCACAGATTCAGTTACTTTTTTTTTTTCAACTTGCCTGCCCTTTGGAATTATTGGTTTTATTTTTGTCCTTCTTTTCTTTTAAAATAATGGCAATGTAGCACTTTTTTGGTGTCTATTTTCTGGAGCTGTCTTTCACAGCTCAGCTTTTTGTACATTGATTTTAAAATTTGTATAGCATTGTTATTTGTAAGTGCTGACGGCTTACTGCTGTGGCTCGACTTTTAAAGAATAAATCTGCTTTTCACATAAGAAACAGTCTAGATACATACTAGCTGATTTATAAAATGATCTATCCATATATGGTTTCAATATTGTTGACAGTGTGTACAAGCGAAAGAACATGGAGGAACTGAGATCTTCAACCAGAGGGAGTGGAGAAAGTTTACCTGCTCAACAAGAGACACGGCACATTGATACTGCTCATATGACAAGCCCAAGAGAACAAGTAGGAAGTGTACATCTTTTGAAGAGCAGCAAATTATTGTTATCAATACATGATGAGTTCTATGTGTGGATGTTGCTTGAGTTTTGGTTCACCATTCAGTTTCACTTCATCTCTTGTGAAAGAGGGATGTGGACATTTACTCTTTATGTGAGTTTTCAAGTTTGATTTTTGTAAGTTTTCTGCCCTGTCTTTCTGCACTTGAATTTTACTGTACACACAAGAAGCACAGTATAAATGATTTTCAATACTGTTTAGCTGATACTGACTCAGTCTTATCATTCATAAAATACCACATTTTCAATACTTGTCTTTGTTGAAAGAATTTAACATTTTCTATACCAATGAGAACATAAAAAAAAAATTGTGTCCTGACTAACAGTGGCACAGATAACATGAAAAAAAGACTCGAAATCTCAAATCACTCTCCATTTCTCGTACAATTTACCATTCTTCGAGTGAACTGATTGTCTTTATATTGGCAACACTGTTTTCCTAAAATCACGTGCAGATTTGTTGAACAGCTTGTCACAATGTCATGAATCCAATTCACCCTGCACATGTGATGTTATAGGGCAGATTACATGAGCCCACCATGCTCAGCCCCACAAAACACTGCTAATATTGAGACACATCATCACACATTACCCACAGTGTGTGTAAGGCACAAGAACTTCCCTAAATATAGTCATGTCAGGATTGGTGGTGAGTGGTGGGGGTTTGATCCAAGAGAAAAAGTGTGGCGCTACATTAGGCTATGTGATGTGTAAATTATATATGTGTTTGTTGTGCACATGTTTGTGTATGTGTGTGTGTACATGTGTGTGTGTGTCTGTGTGTGTGTGTGTTGTGTATTGTGAGTGTGGTTGTTTGCACATGACGCTGATCTGAGGTAAGAGCAATTTTGATTTAGAGGTAAGGCTCATTAGCAGACGCTCTTTCTGTCTCAATCACACTCTACCTTTCTCTTGCTTCCAAACTTTTCAGGGCACCCACACTATCCATCCTTCTATCCTTTTATTGGTACAGGGTACTTAACGTGATGGCAGAGAATAGAAAACTTTAATCTCTGACAATAGAAACCAAGCGTTGGATTGTAGCAGGTATCCCCAAATTAACGCTTTCCATGTTTCTAAAAACTCCAGCAATGGGTGTCAACCCGACAGAAAGCAAATGCTCTTTTCCAGATTTGTTTCAATTGTTCCAGCAAGCACGTGCCATATCTCTTCCTATCTTTGGTCCCATTCTGATGACAAAAGCAGCTGAAATGGTTAAAAAAAACTTTGCCTTGACTTCACATGCAACACAGAATAATTGGAAAGGTTCAAAATGAAACATGGCATTACTCTAATGCCTTTGGTGTGCAACAAACCTGCAACAGTAAATCTTTTAGTGTTTTATTTCCCAACCATTGGACTGTCACAGTTACTTCCCTTGACTTTTCTTGAATAGGCCTATATGTGACGTGTGATGACAAAATGAGTTACTTCTCGGATTTCTCCTTTATGGAAATTGATACATCAACTTGATAGGTGAAGTTAGTACAATTTGTGAGCATGGAAAAGTAAAAGACACAGTAAACTTGAACAAAATGGCATCAATTGAACATCTATAAATGGGACCCCAGTGTCGATTTTCACCCGATATCTCCATTCCTGGGTCGTGAGAAGTAACTCATTTTGTCAGCACATCTCACATATATATGTTATTCTCTCACATTTTGTTGTTGTATCGGTTCCCCCGAATTATGTATGTTGAACATATTCGTAATTCTCCAGCATGTTTTGAGTTATCCGTGACCAACTGTAGGCCCATATCATTCTGGCTTCAGTAGGTTGCATCTAAGAACAATGTATATATATGTGAGCTGGTCTGAGGAAACTAGGAACATGTCGCTAAACCTCGCACTGAGATATCGGCAAAAATAGTTGGTGTGGTCAATTCTGGTCAATTTTGAGTTATACATGCCACGGGATTCCCCAACCATTTTAGAAAATAATTCAAGAGCTGTTTCTTGTAAAAACCACTTTAAAATATCTTTCTCAATTTATTTTCAATTTGCTTTTAGAAAATAAAAAGCAACAGTGTTGTAACTTTGAACGCATTTTTCTCAGTTATTACTTTTCCTCATTTCGTTTCTTCAAAATGCAGTACCTCATCTTTTAGAATTGATAAATGAAAAATTTTAAGTACATGAGAATTAGGAAGATCCCAGCTTTCAGAAAAGCACAAAAACTCCAAGTGGCCCAGAGGCAACACATTATGTTCCTGATTTCCTCAAACCGACTGGCATACATGTTCTTCTTTGAATAAATGACTTTGGTTTTGTGATGTTATCAAAAAGACAAAATACTTAATGCTTCGCTGTTCTTCCAGGGAGATGGTGCTCCTGTGTTGTCGTCAAACACTTCGGATGAGTCTCAGAGAGACCAAGTTGTCGAGACAAAACCATTCACTATCAGGACGGAGCTTGATGTTGTCCAGATCTTGCTAACAGTTTTTGCTCTTGCCACCAGAACTTGGCGGCTTGGGGTACCCAGAGCTGTTGTGTGAGTCTGCTGGACTCAATTTGTTTTTCTTTTGCTTTTAAAAAGAAATCGAAAGGAGAAAATTCTTTCTGTTAAATTTACATTTTCCATAGGTAAATGACTGTTAGATATGTTCCGTAATATATAATTTGTTTCAAATATTTTTATGACTGTTACTTTACTTTTTAAAATTTTCTTGTGGGTTTGATTTTAATGGCGGCATAGTATCTATTTGCAACTTAATTTATTGGACTCTGTGAGATGTTTCAGAATGCCAGATCTCTTTTCAGTTATTAAAGTGCTTTAAATAGGTGTTAAAACCTCAGTCAGTGCCAATAACCTTTCATTGTTTGCATAGTGATTGTACTGCACTTATTGATCTATTCATAGAATCACACATATATATATATATAATATATCTTTTGCAGATTTGATGAGCTTCACTTTGCTAAGTTTGTGTCTCTGTATTTGAAAAGAATTTTCTTCTTTGATGTGCACCCACCCTTGGGGAAGATGATTCTTGCAATGGCAGGTAAGTTTGTTTTTTAAAATCTTCTTCATAATTTAAGACGTGTTTAACACTTTGCTGCCTCGTCTAGCCGATCGACGATGTTTACCACCCAGAGTCTTTGGATTTTCCCCAAAATGCCTTTGCCTTGTGATGGCAGTGTTAATATTGTAATTGCCTTTTTGTTCTTTGTTTTGTTTATTGGGGGGGGGAGGGGGGTTCCGATCTATTTTTAAGTGTACGTGGAAGACTACTGAGTATTTCCCCAGGATGTGTTCAGGGTATTTTAATTTCTCTTCATCTCTGTGTTGATTAACTTTGGCAGATTCTGCATTTGTTAGTTCTGATGGTATCAGGCTGGAGAGCTTTCATTTGAATTGCAAACATGGGCATTAATGAATTCTGATAGTTTAATTGGTTTTCCATTTGCTTGACTTCATCATATTGGTATAGAATGTTAGACCTGAGATTGTCTGTTAAACCATATCATACTATACTTTACAGCAAGAAGCCCCCCCCCCCCCCTTCCCCCTTCCTTTTAAACCTGAGAAACAAAAAAATCCATTTGCTGTTAGAAGCACTTAGAACATAATTGTGGTTAGCTGTGTGATTCTCGGGAAAGTAGTCGAGTACGGTTGACATTGAAGAAACCAAGGACAGGCCGAGGCGTGAGCCACGGACTTTTGAAGACTGCGTGAGTAGCGGTCGAGGCGCAGCGCAGAGAGTTGCGACGAGTCAGTGCAAGTTGGATCGCTACATGAGGTGGGTGTGTGTAGTAAAACCGTATGCATGTATAGTTAAACTACAAGCTATTTCGGCGAGGTGCTCATTCTAGAGCCAGATATTAAGTGCTAGTGATGGCATCGAAAATAACGACGGACATGATCAAGCCTTTCAGTGGCAATAGCGATGTTGTGGCATGGTTGGCTAAGGTTAAACTCGTCGCTGGTTTGAAGAACATTCAGGATCTTGCGAAATTTGTACCGTTGTTCCTGGAGGGTGATGCATTGGCGTTGTACTTACAGCTTAGTGAGCTGGAAAGATCACAATATGAGACAATTGAGAAGCGTCTTCTAGAGGCATTCACAGACAGCTCATTTGTTGCGTTCAGTAAGTTGACACAGAGGAGGTGGGACGGTGAGCATGTTGATGTATTCGCGAACGAACTAAGGAGATTGGGAGGATTGGCTGGATTTTCAGGCAGCGAACTGGATAGGCTGGTTAGATTGTCCTTTGTAAATGGATTCCCTGACCCGATATCGTGTGAGCTCCAACAGATGAGCCGGGTCTTCGAAGTTGAACTGTCAGAGGTCATAGCAAGAGCTAGAATCCTTACAGCAAGTAAGACTGGAATGGTCAGCGTTGCGGCGGCAGGCGGAGCCATGGCAAACGAAATGGGAAGCCACAGTCAACGTGTGAGGGCATTTAAAGGTTCTTGTTATCGATGTGGTGGACCACATATGGCTAAGTTTTGTAGTCATCGTGCTGACATTGTTTGCTACCACTGCAATGAAGTTGGGCACATAGCCAGTCGATGCAGTCAGAGGGGAAACGGTGCCTATCAGAAGAAACAGGAAAACTAGCTTCGGGTGGCTGCTGCGCCGGCAGCTACCCGTTTGAAATGAGGGCGCAGTCTTTACCGATAATTCAAGTTGGCGTGAAGGGAGCTAAGGTCAAAGCATTGGTAGATACAGGTTGTATGGTCACAGTGGTCAGTTCACAGATAGTTGGAAATTGCGTGGGCGAGAACTATATGGTAGCTTTTGATGGTTCACGAGTGCAGTGTCAGGGGAAGAAAGAGCTGTCTACCGTTATGATTGGAGAAACCATATCGTTGTTAATGAAGAAGAAGACGGGCCTGGAAGATTTGAAGTTGGAGATGATGTTTGGGTTAAACCACCCCAGAGCAAATGTACGACTAAGTGGAATAGAGGTACGGTTACAGGAGTAAACTCGATCAACAATGTTGCTGTCGATGGTATGGCTCGTCACGTTCTCGATGTTAGAAGAGTGGTACGAGATGTAACTTCAGAGGAAGAGGATGATGAGGGAGGTGGCGGTGAACAGCAAACCTTGCAAACCCTGACGAGAAACGAAGGTGCAGGTGAACCCCCTCCCAGGCGGTATCCTGATCGAGTCAGGAAAACCCCCGGTTGGTTGGTGGACTATGAAACTCAGTAAATGAAGTAATCAAGTGTACAAAGTGTAGATAGCGTTGAACCATGTCCTGTTCGCACGTTGAAGAACTAAATTTTGTTTTGTTTGATCTTGAGATCACGGGGGCGTGTGGTTAGCTGTGTGATTCTCGGGAAAGTAGTCGAGTACGGTTGACATTGAAGAAACCAAGGACAGGCCGAGGCGTGAGCCACGGACTTTTGAAGACTGCGTGAGTAGCGGTCGAGGCGCAGCGCAGAGAGTTGCGACGAGTCAGTGCAAGTTGGATCGCTACATGAGGTGGGTGTGTGTAGTAAAACCGTATGCATGTATAGTTAAACTACAATAATGAAACAGGTAATTTACACATTCTGTTCTGTTCTCAGGCAGCTATGCTGGTTTTGAAGGTGATGTCAACTTTGAAAGGATCGGTGCAGGTAAATAAATTATGACCACTGTTGTTTAAAAAATGTAAGTGCATAAATAATTATGAATCTTTTTTTTTTTTTTACAAATTTTATTATTACTGGAAAGCGGGGGCTCTTGTGGTACAGAGTTTATCTGTCAGTCAAAAGGTCATTGGGTCAAACTTGCCAGCAATGGAAAAATTTTCTTTTCTAAATTTTTCTCCTATGTCCTTTCCTGTTTCCTCGTTGTATTCTGTCTTCTGGCTTTCTCTCCATCCCCTCACAATCCCTCTCCCCTTACTCCTGACTCTTTCTACTGTTGCTCTGGACTTCTTCTTACTGATGTCATTCAGCCACACCCCTAATCATAGGGTATGTAAGATGGGAACATCTAGCCTACTCAGGAAAGGGTGGAAAATCTCCGAGGTCCTGTGTGCAAGTTGTGTATGTTGAGGATCCCTCACTGGTTCTAAAATCAATAGAAGTAGGCTTCAACAGCCACCTGGGTAAAATTCAAAATTAATTCTTACCAAAACTGAAAATACTTCAGTCAGTATAAAAAATATAGAGTACCATCGAAATCGGAATGCGGCTGCCTGAAAGCAAGGGGCTCCACAAAGTAGGAAAAATGGTCGCATTAATAATAATCAGTTGCACTGCAGGTTGAAGATCCAGCAGTGGACTACCCGGGAGATCCAGCAGGGGAATGCGAAGAAGATGAAGAAGAAAAAGACTAGAAAGCCAGAATGCATAGCATGTATTTTAAGTTTGAATAATTAGGTCATCGATTTAAAAAAAACTTTTTCCAAGGAGTCCTTGTCCTTGTTGAAGCGGCATCTGAAAGGGAATTTTGAAAATGTGATAAGTGTAATTTTGAGGTCAATAATCTTTTAGTATCTAATGCATCATGTAATACAGACTCATATGCCCTCAGCCTGTTCAGTTAGCTACCTTATTTTGGGGTCTCATTTTTTTGTTTACGCTTTTGTTGGTCCATCGTTATTACGCTTTTGTTGGTCCATCGTTACAAAGAAGCTCACTTGCACTTGAAGGTTATTAATATAAGGTCTTCTTCATTTTTTCTTCTATTTGGTTTAGAAAATCAAAAAGTTTCTTTTGGTTATATTTTTGCGTCCATTCTTTCTAAACGGAAAAACATTTTGTTGAATATGTGTTAAATACTGTAAACAGTTTTTGTTGTTGTTGGTTTCTTTTCATGGCCAGGTTTTCCTCCATCGGTTCCTGTGGAGATGTTGCGGGCGGTCCCAGCTATCACAGGCAGTTTGGTGGTTCCAATCTGCTACCAGATCTGTGTGGAGGCCGGTTTGAGCCGGTACGCTGCTGCCATGGCGGGGATCATGGTCGCAATAGGTTAGTTGTCATTGTTGTTGTTTTTATTATTATAGTGTTTTCTTTGTTTTTGTTGTTTTTATTATTGTAGTGTTGTCAGTTGTTTTTTTATTATTGTTGCGTTGCCATTGGTTTAAAAAAAAATTATTGTTACATTGTCATTGTTGTTGTTGTTATTATTATTGTTGCTACCTTTGTGTTTCTAGTTCCTGTTGGTGGTGGTGTTGCATTGTTTTTGTTGGTACAGAAAGCCTGGGTGTTGGTCCTTTGTTATTGTTGCAGCTGCAGAAGTCAAGATGTGTACTTACTTGTTGTTGTTATCATCATTGTTGACACTGCTGTTTTTTGTTGAAGTATGCATGAGCCTTAAGTTGGTTATTGGTGCTGCTATAGTTGACGCTTCCCCGGCTATTGTAATTGTGCCTGTTTTGTTGCAGGTGAATGTGCCTCAGATCAGTTGCCATTCTCTCCTTCTCCTAGGTTTTTTGTTGTTTTTAAAAATATTTTATTTTGTTTAGGAGGCATGACTCTAGGTCACTTGTTGCTGTTGTTGTACAGTTATAGTTTCTGTTTGTGTTGTGCTTGTGGTTTGAGGATGCCACTGGTGAGTGCTATTTCTCTCCTTTACCCCTGTTCTTTCTGAGTTGGTGGCTAGTGGGTGCTCTGGTGTGGTTTGCTCCTTCTTTCCTGTTAGACATGATCTATCGTCCTTATATCTCTTTCTTCTTTTGATTATATGTTACACTGAACTAATACCTCTAATCTTTAGCTTTTGTATGACCTGGACATGTTATAACTGCCGTAAAACCCGTACTAAAGCTTTGTTGTCTGTCTGCCTTACTTTTTCATTGCTCTAATTGACTTATTGTGGCTTTCTTCTCTTATTTTTCTCTTTTGTTGTGATTGCAGGCAACCTAACAGTCGGCTACCCATCTCCTTCCAGATTCATGTTGTCTCCAGACTTGTGCCACTATAATTCAGTACATAGTTTATTATAATGTGCATTTTTATATTAAACTGATGGCCTATGGGCATTATGGTAAAGTCTACTACTTTTACGGAAGACTATTGTTATAATGAGTTCAAGGTGGAATTTGGCCATATTGTCTGACTCTTCCACTCACTCTCAACTCTTCAACTCATCTTGATTAGTTTTTGGTAAAATATTTGTTTCATATTTCGGCAGAGACTGAGAAACAAATGTTATCGTACTGCCATTTAATTTATTCAGTGATATGTCTTGTGTCCCCCTGCAGTCACGGTTCATGCTGAAGGAAGGCATGCTCATCTTCTTCTTCTTATTGTCTGACTCATCCCACTGATGTGTGGTTGGTAGGTGCTCTGAAGTGGTTTACTCCTTCTTTCCTATGAAACATCAATTGTTATTATCTTTTCTTCTTATTTTGTGTTTGTTACTCTCTTGCAAAACCTCTAATCTTCGGCAATTATATGTACTGCAAGTGCTGTAAAACATAGAACTCTTACTAAAACACAATGTCTCTTCCATTCACTCTCAACTTTGTGGATGGTTGGTGGGTGCTCTGGTGTAGTTTGCTCCTTCTCTTCTATCAAAACATCTATCGTACTAGTACTTATCTCCCCTCCGTCTTTTTGTGTTTGTAACTTTCTTGAAACACCTCCTAATCTTTGGCACTTATATGACCTTATTGTGATGCAAATGCTGTGAAACACTTACTGAAACAGAACTCTCAACTCTTCAATCCATCTCTTACTTTTGGTAAAATATTTGTTTCAAATTTCTACAAAGGCTGAGAAGCAAATGTTCTCGGTCTTCCGTTATTTATTTTTTTTCAATTATATGTCTGTGTCCCCCTTCAGACAACGCGCTGCTGGTGCAGTCACGGTTCATGCTGATGGAGGGAATGCTCATCTTCTTCTCCACCCTGTCGGTGCTGGCCTATCTCAAGTTCCGCAACTGTCACAGGTATTGGCTGCAGGGGAAATGTGTGAGTGGGTGGTTGGCGGGTGCTCTGATGGGGTTTGCTCTTTCATTCCTATCAAACGACTTCTATCATCCCTTTCTTTTTTGTGTTTGTTACTCTCTTGTAACTCCTCTAACATCTTCGGAATTTATGTATATGACCTAATCATATTGCTTATACCGTAAAATGCTTATTTAAACAAGAAAAAATATGCCTGTTTATTTCTCTCTCTCTCTCTCTCTCTCTCTCTCTCTCTCTCTCTCTCTCTCTCTCT